GGAAGAGCAGCTTGCAAAGATTTTTTCGCCATTGTGTAGACTGTCTCTTTACTGTTGGTTGTCTTGCACGGTGTGCAGGAACGCTTTGATCTGATGTGGAACCGTGTGTTGGTTCTTGCCTTTGTTTCCTGCGTCTGGAGTTCTGCTCAGGAAGCCTTTGCCTGTGCCTGTGGCTTCGTGTGTTTCCCCTGTTCTCTTTCATCACTTCCAAAGTTTCAGGTCTCCTGCCCAGATCTTTGATCTATTTTGAGTGTATTTTTGTACAGGATGGGAGATAAGGGTGTAGTTTCAATTTTCTACAAGTGGAAATCCAGTGTTCCCAGCACCATTTAGTTAAAGTGTCTGTCTTTTCTCCAACACAGAGTTTTGGCTCCTTTGCCCAGAATCAAATGGCTGTTGTTGTGTGTTTGTTTCTGTCCCCTCTGTGCTTGTGCCGGCAGTGGGCTGGTATTGTTACTGTGGTTTGTAGTATGATTTGAAGTCAGGTATTGTCACGATACTTACAAACTTCCACACTTGCTTGCCCTACCTCCCCAGCTTGCTCTTTTTGCTCAGGATTGCTTTGACTGTTCTAGCTCTTTAGTGTTTCCATATGATATTTTTTTTTCTTTTTTTGAGGCAGGGTCTAGTTATGCAGTTCAGGGTGGTGTTGAGCTCACTTTGTAGCCCAGGCTGGTCTCAAACTCACAACGATCCTCCTGCCTCAGCCTCCCAAGTGCTAGGATCTAGTTCTGTGAAGAATGTCAGAGAAATTTTGATGGGGATTGCATTGAATCTGTAGATTGCTTTTGGTAAGATAGCCATTTTGACAGTATTGATTTTTGTTTTGTTTTTTTCCTGTCTTTGAGACAGGATCTCGCTATGCAGTTCAGGCTGGCCTTGAGCTCACTTTGTAACCCAGGCTGGTCTCGAATTCACAACGATCCTCCTGCCTCAGCCTCCCGGGTGCTGGGATTACAGGCGTGCGCCACCACACCTGGCTAACAGTATTAATTTTATTAATTCCATGAGCATGGAAGGTCTTTCCATCTTCTACTGTTTTCTTGAATTTCTTTCCTCAGTGTTCTGAAAATTTCACTGTAGAGATCTTTCACTCCCTTAG